TACAATGAACACCAGTTTGTAATGATTGTATTCAGACTGTAATTGTTTGTATTCAGACTAACAGCACGTTTTGCAAGTACCTATGATATTGCTTTTAAACAACAGATAATTAAGCAAGTAATTAAGATCGAGTAATTACAGTTCTGACAGAAACTGACTAGTTGATTTGCTGCAGAGTCAACAAAAATAGTTCCAAAAGAAGCCAACCAAGCAAACCAAGCAAAGCCGGACTGGATCAACATATGTGAGTGGAACGGAGCGACAGATAGTTGCCCTCCCCCGCTGAAAGCGTTCATAGCATAGCTACTGCATACGTACATAAACAAATTACACAAGCTTCCGTTCACGAGAAAATTAATAGTCATCGCAATAGGAATCCATACGATGATGAAATTTTCCCTGATGGTGGCTGAGAAATTCCCTTCCGCAAATTTGTGGCGTTCAAATTGGTGAACAAATTCGCACTGTTGACTAATAGAAGTTGTACGATGTGGCAGTGACCTGTATGTGGGCGAGGCTTCACAAAAGCCTAAACTCTCACAATGAACGAAAAACAGAGTAGCTAACGGTGTCTACTCTGCCGCTTCTTAATAAAGGCACTGATTAAAAAATGTAAGTCTGACTTAAAGGAGTCATCGGACGCAAAACTCACTTTTACGTGTTGTTTGAACTGAAATGTGTGTTGGCAGTGTGTGTACACAACCACCCTATAATGATAAAAATCCACCCAGTGTTTTCACCCCACAGAAGAGAGGGGAGGGGCGGGTCAGAAGAGCTCATTAGCATTTAAAGGGACGTGCACCGGAAAGCCTTGCTATAAACAGAGCTGTTTTTGACAAGGTAAAAAGGGTGTTGTTTTACACTACCATTGAGAAATTCTAAGCAAAGTATGTTATAGACTTTTCATTAAGACCTTAAAGGGGTCATATGATGCTTTTTAAAAGATCATTATTTGGTGTATTTGGTGTAACAGAATATGTTGACATGCTTTAATGTTCAAAAAACACATTATTTTTCAAATACTGTACATTATTGTAGGTCCTCTATGCCCCGCCTCTCTAAAGATTCATATCAACTTGTGGGAAATGGGCATCCGATGACCCCTTTAAAAAGAGGCTTTTTGTAAAGTGTTTCACACACACGTCATATCTAGTCCCGCCTTAGAATATAATTTCTCTATATGCGACCAAAGAAATACTCAAGGCAAATTTGCTATGCAGTAAGCCAATCAAATTTGAGAACAAGAACAAACAGTCCTATAAAAGAAAACATTCGCTGCATATTAAGAGAATGTCACATGACTTTAAAAGTTTTGCTTGTTTTGTTAGTCACAGCAAACACAGCCTACCTATAAACAAAAAAGTGTGTCACAACAAACATAGCCTAACACAAAAGTTGACCATCAGCGAGCCTAGAAATGTAGCGGATGAGAGTAACTTGGGTTCCTCAGAACTCTCTCCATGGTGCTGAAGCGGTTGCCCAGGTGACATGATATCAAGGGCATCGGCGTGTCTACAGAGCCGCTGAAGCATCTGACGCTCACGAAACCCCAGTGATTAATACAAACAAACTACAGAAATGACCCGACATTCAACACTTTGCTTCTCAAAGCACAGTTTAACCAACGTATGTTGTCTCCAGCCTGTTTCCAAACATCGTAAAGCCGAGAAACGTATTATTTGTGACCGTCTATCGCTTTTATCGTGTTATATGAACGAAATAATGTCCCTCGTGAAGTCGGAGGCGCTTTCTTTCCAGTGAACTGTGAATCCAAAACAAAACATTTGCGCGTTTAACTTTCAAAACTGATATAATGTTCAACATTCAACAGCCTATAATAAATATTCTGTCTCAACAAGTATTCCAAAAAGTATATTCCGTCTCAAGAGAAACCACGCAATTTAAGAAAAGAAAAAAATACAGGATGTAAATAAATTGTAAATTGACCGCTCTTAAATGTTGTTGATGCCTCGATAGGGGGAAACATTGTGATGGAGCTCAGCTCGGTCTGATGAAATGAGAAGAATGGGAACCAGCAGACGCTATCAGGACTGGGTCGCGCACAGAGAGAAAGACGGACAACAGCAACGCCGAGGAATGAAGGAGGACTCTTACCGCTCTGAATCAAGCCTCGGTGTGATTCGGAGTAATAATCCTGCGAAATAAACGTGAACCAAGCTGAATGGCGAAATGCTGCCCGTCGTCGCTCTTCAGTGCTGCTGCATCTGACGGCGCAGCTGCTGCTTCCACGCGCTGAGAGCCTGAGCGCGCGACGCGAATCAGCGTGCGCGAGTCCACACACCACAGTGCATGTGCAAAACCGATGCGTGTTTTTGTGTCTCAAAACTGACAAATAATCTGAAGTCACGAGTCAGCTGTCTGATGTGAAGTGTGAGTCAGACTAATATGTTAACACATATTTACTGAATGACTTATAGCCTACTGAAATTATTAACGCAACAATAAACCTAGTCACATTATTTTATGTGGGCTATTTAGCAGTTTGGTGCGTAATGCAAAACATATTACACTTTACATAAAAACAATTTCGATATTCTTATATTAAATTTAGTGTTGTGGATTTTATTATTATTATTATTATTACTGCTTTTAAGAATTTGTATAAAGAAGACTTGAACCTAAAATATGTTAATCTCACGTAGAATAGAAGCTGTTGATGTGCTGTGATCTTTCTGCTGTTTTTTTTTTATTTTTTTTTATTTTTTTGCATTAATCGTACATGAAATTCACAAAGCTCAAAATAAAAAAAGACCATATGCAATGTGAGTGATTTTTAATAGAGAGGTTATTGCATACATTTCAGATCAGAATCAGAGCACCATTGCTGATGATAGTAAAGGCAAAATAATCTGGTAGTTGATGTGCTGTGATCTTTCTGCTGTTTTTTTTTTATTTTATTTTTTTTTTTTGCATTAATCGTACATGAAATTCACAAAGCTCAAAATAAAAAAAGACCATATGCAATGTGAGTGATTTTTAATAGAGAGGTTATTGCATACATTTCAGATCAGAATCAGAGCACCATTGCTGATGATAGTAAAGGCAAAATAATCTGGTATTTGTACTCCCTCTGTTGGCCGCTGGACACACGTGGGTTTTTGCAAAGTGCTTCAAATTAGCCTATCAGACAATCAACTCGTCACTATGACACGTGATACAATTGCGAGGAAGTGACTGAGTGATTTTTTTATTTTATTTTTTTTATTATAATATATGAAACACAGAATGACATTAATATACTACATGCCAGGGAGCAAAAAAATAATGTACCTTTTAAAAAGATTCACAGTTTTTACAGCTTTCTTATTGGGAGAGTCAGAAATCAAATACATATACAGTTTTAACTCTTCCAGAAAAAGGTTAAAGAAAGGCTTACACTTACAATATTTACATTTGTGTACAAAATATTTGGCGAGAAACAAAATAAGATTGAGTAAATAAAAAACATCTGATTGTTCTCTTTCAAAATGTGTATAACCCAGAATAACATTTTCATATTTCAATGAAATTTCAGGAATTATACCACAAAAAATACTCAAAATGTTTTTCCACAGATTCTTAGTATACTCACAATACCAAAATAAATGAGACAAATCTTCAGTTTGGAGACCACAGAAGGAGCAATTTACATCAAAATCCTCAGAAATAAACCTTTGTAAAAAACATTTTGTGGGATAGCACCGATGTATCATTTTATAAGACACTTCTTTTATCTTATTGTACAAAAATAATTTTTGAGGCAAAACCCACACTCTAGCCCAGTTAATTTCACCTACATGTCTGTTCCAATAAAAGATGGCATTCGGACAAGAGACAACCTCATTCTGGAACAGAGCACGAATGCCCCTATTATTTGATTTGGTGTTAAGGGATTTTTGGCGACATTAAACATTTTGAATAAAGAAAAGAAAATGGCGAAGAACCACCTGGAATATTTGCCTGTTTTCCATGTCAGAAGTTAGTTCAGCATTCAAGAACATGAAAAAATGTCAACATCCATTCAAACAAGTGAAATAATTTTAACATATTATTATTGATATTCTAATTTTAAAAAAAATTCTACATTTTTATCCAATAAAGGACATATATGATGAGCAGAGCTTTGTAGATTACTTGAACATTGTAATCCGTTACTGATTTACTGCATTACATGTAAATAAGAAGTAATGTGAATTTGTGCATTTTCATGTGTTTGAAAGACAAAAGCCTTTCAAAGAAATAGTAATACATGGTTAAATAACGTATACTGAGTGATAATTAAAATAAAAATGAACATGTTCATCAGTAGTTGATGCAATGTTGAAACGTTAAGAAAACACTTCTCAAAACTGAAATCATTTTTGTAAATCCAGTGGTTAAATGCTGTGTGACCTCTCAGTTTTCTGTGTATTTATAGCTACCCTGACTAGTGACTGGTTTTTGTGCGAATGTCCACAAAACTGCAATACTTTCTGAATGTATATATGCAGTAGGCATACTACCTGAAAAGTTCAGCTCCAACCCTGATCAAACATAACGGAACCAACTAATTAGGATCTGAAGGAGCACTTGATAATTACAGACAGGTTTGGAACTGAACTCTGCAGGAAGGTAGATCTCCAGGACCAGGATTGGGCACCCCTGCAGTAGGCTATTTTAGAAAGGAAAATTTAAAAGATGGAAAAGAAGTAGAGAGAATCAATAAATTATGACTAATTTATTGCTATTGTGTGAATATTATGTAATCAATAAAAAAGTAACTGTAGTCTGATTACAAGTATGTTTTAAAACCTAATTTATTCTAATTACAAGTAGCCTACTTAATTTTTGAAATCTGATTACATAACCCAGATTACTAGCCAGCACTGATGAGGACATGAAAATGTATAGTAGGCTATAGCAGGAATTGCCCTCATGACAACAAAGCAGTGTCAGTCCAGTCTCAGAACAAGACTCTTTAATGGGGAAGTTCATTAAGAAATCTGACAGTCTGTTACATGTCGGCAAAACAGCTAGCGGCCTAAATGAAATATCAGCAAACTGTAGCAACCCACTGGAAATTCTGTGTCAGAGCAATGTCACATGCGGTTATATGTTGCATGTCTGCACCTGAAAGTAGGCTACACACAGCACATGCGAGGCGCTCGTCCGTTGAGGAGTTTCCACTGAGGGCGGCGCTACGCTCTTTTCAGGAAGTGCTGGGACAGAGGAAATTTTGTTTTCGTGGTAAATAAAAAAAAATTCCTCGTTTATGACATTCATAACCAGGTGTGGTATGTTTGCACGTCCACATAACTTCTATCACAGCAAAACAAACGCGTCTGCGCGAGATGATCCGAGATGGCTGCAGTAACTCTCGTGGATCTCACACAGGTCCGCTCTTCACAATATGGCATTTGTGTGAAAAAGCGCATCGGCGAGTTCTGTGCATTGACCGGGAATGGCTCACAAGAGCCGGTCTTCTTCATAGCGGATCCAGAGAGCTCCGTGGGGACGGGCAGATTTCCTAGAAGCTCTAATCAGGAGATGTTTATCGGTTTCAGCAATTCCCCACAGGTCCTGTGCAAGAGCTCGCTTTCAGCCGCATTATACTCATTCAAGAAGGCTATAGACAAAAAGGACATTAGTAACGTGAAGATCGTGACTTCGAGCCGCGGGAGAGGATTGTTTCAGGTCTACCAGGAGCTCCTTTTCACTTCTGCGTATAATTTTGAGTACAGTATCATGTTTGACAATCTGTCCTGTGAGTGCTGTCCCCCGGGTCAGCGCACAGACAGCAGCGCGCAGGCAGCTGACGCTAAACGTGAGCTCGGCACGTTTCTACAGCACCTACCAGCGCTCAAAGGAGACATTGCAATTCTCAGATCTTCTTTAATTTCAGGTTAGTTAGGCCCACGCAGATTTTACTTTTATGCTTAAATATGTAGGCCTATAGTTAATAATATAATTTTTTTAGAACTAGTGATACAGGAATCTTGAATCTGAGTGCTGGCATAATTTCATTTGGAATAATAAATAGACCTATAATACATCTAAAGCTGGGAAATAATAATAATAATAATAATAATTATTATTATTATTGAACATTTAGAAAAGTTGAGAGAATATGGAACATTTTGAGAATATGGAGCTTACATTTAAGGAGGAAAAACACATTCATTTTAATCAGTGGCCCAAACCGAACAAAAATATGCAATTTGGTGCAGATGTTGTTATTTATATACCAAAAAGTAAATTCTGAATACTTAAGATTTTAATCACAGTATTATAGACTACTTAATAAAATGCACATATATATCAGTTGTCACCTCCCAAAATGCTATTTAAATGTTTAGTTTTATGGTCAAAGCTCTGTAGTTTTTTTTTTTGTTTGTTTGTTTTTAGATCAAAACATATAATGCAATGCAATACAATGATGATTAACAGATGAACACATAAACTTTCCTCAAAAAAAACCCTGATGCATCACATTTGATACTCACATTTTTAACATGATTATTTCTTTAAAATTATGTATGGATAATCAAGTAATCCTGAGTTGCTTCAGTCTGGTATATATGTTAATCTTGCAATATTTATAACAATATAAATGTTATTCTTACCTCTACTAAAATCATTAAAGTTTTCACAGCAAAAAGACACTGTACCACAACCTGAAAATTGACTCTTTTTTTTTAGAAATATACTAAAAGGCCTTTTACAGATGTGGCCATTAAGAATGCACATTTTTGTACTTCCTACAAAGTATGAACTATCAATCAGGTGACAATAGGCAAGTAAGAGATTGTGTACAACAGGTTTTTCAGCAAAGTTTTGATCATTTAGATAATTTCGATGCCTTAGAAATATGAGCCAGTAGGCTTTATAGGGTTAATGGATAATTTGGAACAGATAGTAAAGGAAATACAGCCAGTGAGTATGTAACATAGATGGGAACCCGTTCAATTATGTTTAAAGGGACCCAGGAGGCACCTGATGTAGGCAGTGTGAATGTCCCGAGTGAGCAGAGCTGGAATCTAGACAAAGAAGAAGCTCAAATATAATAAATATATAATGTTATTTCATCCTTTTAATGCCTTCCAGACAGTCAGTCTATGTCTCTATTTCTTTGTCATTCAAAGACTGCTTCGGTCATGGCTTCTCCACTCGTACCGGAGGTATATCCTACATCAGAACTTTGAGCTCACTCAACCTCTTCTGTAACCCGCGGCGTAAAGACTCCAGAGCTGTGGTGGCCGAGAACCTCCGGCGGCTCGGCCTGCAGGCTGGATTTCACCCTCAACAGCTCAACCTCATAAAGGTACTTTATCACAAAGAAAATATGAGGAAGTCAATCTATAAGCAAGCAGCATATCATAACTCTAAACACATGCTACTGCCTTTGCATTATTTCCATTCTTTTTAATACTGCCTCACTGACTGATTAATCATTTTCTACCTAATGCATAAATATAAATAGTGTGTACATATGAATTTTTTTAATTTAAATATTATTATTATTATTATTATTAACCCTGTAAAGACTGACATAAGAAATAATAGTAAGAAAAATCTTTTTTTTTTTTTTATAAAACAGTTTATTAAACATTGTTATTTATATACCAAAAAGTAAATTCTGAATACTTAAGATTTTAATCACAGTATTATAGACTACTTAATAAAATGCACATATATATCAGTTGTCACCTCCCAGAATGCTATTTAAATGTTTAGTTTTATGGTCAAAGCTCTGTAGTTTTTTTTTTTGTTTGTTTGTTTTTTGATCAAAACATATAATGCAATGCAATACAATGATGATTAACAGATGAACACATAAACTTTCCTCAAAAAAAACCCTGATGCATCACATTTGATACTCACATTTTTAACATGATTATTTCTTTAAAATTATGTATGGATAATCAAGTAATCCTGAGTTGCTTCAGTCTGGTATATATGTTAATCTTGCAATATTTATAACAATATAAATGTTATTCTTACCTCTACTAAAATCATTAAAGTTTTCACAGCAAAAAGACACTGTACCACAACCTGAAAATTGACTTTTTTTTTTTAGAAATATACTAAAAGGCCTTTTACAGATGTGGCCATTAAGAATGCACATTTTTGTACTTCCTACAAAGTATGAACTATCAATCAGGTGACAATAGGCAAGTAAGAGATTGTGTACAACAGGTTTTTCAGCAAAGTTTTGATCATTTAGATAATTTCGATGCCTTAGAAATATGAGCCAGTAGGCTTTATAGGGTTAATGGATAATTTGGAACCGATAGTAAAGGAAATACAGCCAGTGAGTATGTAACATAGATGGGAACCCGTTCAATTATGTTTAAAGGGACCCAGGAGGCACCTGATGTAGGCAGTGTGAATGTCCCGAGTGAGCAGAGCTGGAATCTAGACAAAGAAGAAGCTCAAATATAATAAATATATAATGTTATTTCATCCTTTTAATGCCTTCCAGACAGTCAGTCTATGTCTCTATTTCTTTGTCATTCAAAGACTGCTTCGGTCATGGCTTCTCCACTCGTACCGGAGGTATATCCTACATCAGAACTTTGAGCTCACTCAACCTCTTCTGTAACCCGCGGCGTAAAGACTCCAGAGCTGTGGTGGCCGAGAACCTCCGGCGGCTCGGCCTGCAGGCTGGATTTCACCCTCAACAGCTCAACCTCATAAAGGTACTTTATCACAAAGAAAATATGAGGAAGTCAATCTATAAGCAAGCAGCATATCATAACTCTAAACACATGCTACTGCCTTTGCATTATTTCCATTCTTTTTAATACTGCCTCACTGACTGATTAATCATTTTCTACCTAATGCATAAATATAAATAGTGTGTACATATGAATTTTTTTAATTTAAATATTATTATTATTATTATTATTAACCCTGTAAAGACTGACATAAGAAATAATAGTAAGAAAAATCTTTTTTTTTTTTTTATAAAACAGTTTATTAAACATAAAAAAGAGTTTTTGTATGTGTTTAATGTTTTGTATCATTTTTGATGCATCAGGCATTGACTGATCTTTCTGCATATTGATTGCATGTGTCTTTGTGATTGACGTCAGTGCAATCATGCCAGTGATGTGTGGGTGATGGGCAAACCCGCCCCCGACAGTTACGACGGAATGGTGACCAATCAGGTGGGAGTTGTCATAGCAGCACCGGGGGCCGATTGCATGCCGCTGCTCTTCACTGACCCCGTAGCAAAGGTTATTGGAGTGGCACATGCAGGTGAGTCACATCACAATGCCATAAATCTTAATGCTCCTACAAATAGATTATTTTATTTAAAGGTCCCATATTGTACACCTTTCTGGAGTTTTATTTGAGGTTTTGATGTCCTTAAGAATATATATTTGCGGTATAAGTACCAAAAACCATCTCAATATATTTTTACAGCTCCTCTCTCAGGAGCTCTGCTGAGAACAGGTCGATTTTGGTCTGTCTAATTAATATGCCAGGAAATTTCAGTTTTGACAATATGGGACCTTTAAACAAAATTTGACAGGTTTAAACATTTAATGGACAAGTTTTGCTCACCCAAATAATAACGTAATTGATAGATTAGGGTTAGATCTGCAACCTTATACTGATTCACTTAAAGCTTCAAGTTAGATCTATTGGAAGTATGTATTCATATAACCTGAAACAGGAAAGGGAAATCAAAAGGTGCATTCCATTTGACCGTGAATTCTCAGCGAAGTGGACTTAGATGAGATTCCAGTCCGAAGGGAACTGACATGTTCAGTTTCAATACATCAATACATCAATACATCACTTAATAGGAAGTGGAGAAGGAAATTAACCTGCTTATCATTGCGCATCACTCCAGTACTAAAGGAGTAAACTAGACACAGTGATAAGATAAGTTGAGGCGCCAGTGTTTTATTAAGCCTAATTAGTCCTAGGTGTATTTAGTATGCAGCTGTTCACGGATATAAAGTGTGAGAGATGCGACAAATATCATGATCATAGCTAAATAAAATAGAATGTATTACAATTTATTAATAATCAAAGTTATTATTAATTTAATTAATATACATTGTATACCACATATTATATTATGGCAAGTTTTGTATGTGTGATGATGTTATAGAGTGTTCTAAATATTTTAAACACTTGCATCAGCATTTATTACTCCGTTTAGTGCTTTCAAATATGACCGTTTATATTGATTGAATTAATAATAACTTAATATTTATATAATGATACATTCATATTAATATATAGACAGAGCTGGGTAGTAACTGATTACATGTAATTTGGATTACATAATCAGATTCCAAAAATTAAGTACTTGTAATTAGATTAAATTACATTTTAAAATACTAATAATCAGACTACAGTTACGTTTTTATTGATTACTTGATTACATGTATTCACACAATAGCAAGAGATTATTCATAATTTATTGATTCTCCCTATTTTTTTTTTTCTTCATCTTTTAAATTTTCCGTTCTAAAAGGCCTACATGACGTGCAGGTAAACAAAATATTTCGTTTTTTAGTAAGTGTTTTTATTTTGATTGATGTTATTTTAAAATGATTTATTTTAGTTTTACAATTTTATGACTTAATTATTAGCTTTTCATTAAACTCACAAACCCCCTGCAGTTCCTTCACGAACCCCAGTTTGGGAAAACTTGACACGATGTAATGCTTAATTCACTTTATGTTGTTTATAACAACAAATGGAATATATTTTCTTTGCATTTTAATATCAACATGGAACCATATTATCCTATTTAAATCAATGTTACGTTAAAGTAATCAAAAAGCAGTCTGATAATGTTACCTAAAATGTGTAATGTTATGGATTATGATACTAACGGACTACAATTTGTAAGTAATCTACCCAGCTCTAATAACACCCTATTGATGGAACACCCTAGTCATCATACACAGACAAAACTTGACATAATATCTAAATATAACAACATAATATATTTATTACTATATTATGTTGTTATATTTAGATATTATGTCAAGTTTTGTCTGCGTGTGATGACTAGGGTGTTCCAACTGGATGCATTTTGCCAAGTGAAGTGAATTTCAGCAGATATCCTGTGCTCAGGGAGTAGGCTAGTAAACACTGCGTAGGGACCCTGTCAATCGATACGCAGCTAAAGAGAAAATACACACTCATGATGCACAGACATAGAAAGCAATTAGTTTTATCTGAAATGCAGCTGAATTTGGAGTATTCCCAGAAGGGTAAATGTAACTGAGTTATTCTCAGTGGTGCTGTCATTGCTGTGCTGTGCTTACATAATCCTTGTTTATGCCATTTGAGAGCTATATACATACAGTATGATCATGTTCTGTGTTCTTTATATATAATATCATCTTATAATAATGTTCCAGAAATTATCTTCCAGGTATAGCATAAATGTAATAGTTGTTTATTTGGTGTTTCTTGTGTGTGTCACAGGCTGGAAGGGGACCCTCATGGGAATTGCAATGGCAACGGTGAATGCCATGGTGTCAGAGTTTGGCAGCAGGCCTGCAGACATTGTGTGTGTGATCGGGCCTTCTGTTGGGCCATGCTGCTTTACTCTGGAGCAAGATTCGGCCCGAGAGTTTCACGCCATACACCCAGACTGTGTTAGACACATCGACTCATCTAGACCTTGTGTCGACATCAGACTCGCAACCAGGTAAACATCAAAGGTCAACCAGCGGAAGCCTGGTTTGCCTTCAACTATTCACCGGAGACCTGTTTCATTGATCCCTCTGTGCTCTGTGTCACTCACAGAGGTCACGTCACTCCCTGAAGTGACTCTCAGTAATGAACACCACTGAAATTAAGGTGATTGATGTGAAGGGTAATACATTTAATGAATAGGTTATGTATGTTTTATGTATTTGTATTGTTAAGGTTTTTACTATGTGAAGTGCTTTTGAGGATGTTATTTTAAATGTTCTTTGAATTTCTTATTTTTATATATTTTTGATTAACCAACCAATCGTGCTTTGACTTTTAGAATCCTGCTGGCGAGAGGTGGCATTAAACCCGAACACATCGAGGACATCAGGATCCCACACCAATCGGAGTCTACACTCTGCACCTCCTGCCATCCTGAACTATTCTTCTCCCATGTGAGAGATGGACTCAACTTTGGGACACAAATTGGCTTTGTGTGGATCAAATAATCCTGCATTCACCAAGCTCTGACCGAATGTGCAGTGTATTCATTTATGGGGAAGAATCTAAATGACAGTACATAAATATATTCATATGATAAATTAATTGGTATGGAATGATCTCACATTGGACACTGAAATAAACATTTTCATTTGGTTAGTTCACAAATGTCACTCCACAGGACTGAAGAATTAGCTTCACATACATACATACAAAAAAAAATACACTTGTAATTAATAGTAGGGGGTCGAACTTCCTTATTTGCTAACTTTTAAATTTACCTAAAAGCTTACTGCTGGTCGGTGTCTTGATCAGCAGCATTTTCAAGATTTTGTCACTCTTCAGGTGAATGAATTGTGACAGTTGTCTAGACTATGTAATATACATTTATATTTAAATAGTATTTATATCCAAATTGTTCATTTTGAAACAAAAGGATAGTTCTACATCGCAGGAAAATTCCCACGTTTTATTTGAATTGCTAAATGTGAATGGCTAAAATGTTAAAACTATGAATTATAATAGGTAATTTAATGTTTGTGACAAAATCTGTGATGTGGTCCAGACAATAAAAAGATGGGGGGGAAGCATAAGCCTTTTTCAACAATGTCAACAACACACTATTGGAAGAAATAAAGAAACCTTGCTAAAAATGCATAATTCAGGAACTGTCTGTTGATATCCGTCGGTATGAGGGTGATTTGTGTGTTTGTTTGTTTGTTTTGTTTTTTTTAGTTAGATGTTTTTAATTACACAATCTATTTTTAATTATCTCTTTTTAAAGGGGTTCGAACAGACTGTGAATGTACACTAGGGGGAGCTAATCGTTAGCTAATCGTGTTAGCGTGACCGTTCACATATTATAATCTACTAACTGTAAACAGTTAGTACTGATTATAATATGTGCATGTTTGCTATAACTCCACTAATCAAATCATAAATCATATCACAGAGAAAACAGCTGCTTATTTTATGTCATGTCAAGCTGTCAAGCTTCTTAGTGGGATCATATATTTTTGTATTGTAGCCTAATAAAAATATTTGTAAAATATGTGTACATTTGCTTGTTTGACGCTATTTAATATGAGTAAATATGTATTTAATATCTCTAAATTCTTCACATCTGTCTTCGCCTGTTTAAAGAGGGCCACACTAGAGGGCGCGAGCTTGTTTATTTAGTGAGAGACGCTGATTGTTGGCTGGTGTTCAAGCGCCCTTCAGCAGCATCACAGGCAGTCTTTTGTCTTCAGCAGCAGCACTTTTGCAGTGTCACAAAAACATCTCAGCTATTCCTTATCGCGTGCTGTTGAAATGACCACAACATTAGCCTATCAAGTCATTAAAGGAAGGTAATACAGAATGTCCAAGAGTTACGTGATGTTTTGAAGAAAGACCTATACTGTCAACTCGAGCAGCAGCGTGTTCTTTCGAGGCAAGTGAGTGTTTTCAGTGTTGACAAAATGTTGGCTAAACCATACCACAGTCAAAACCTCAATCTGCTGACCTACTAAAGCATCAGACATAGTCCTCAACTACTAGCATACTATACTACTAGGCAGTGTTGGGAAGGTTACTTTGGAAATGTAATAGGTTACAGATTACAAGTTACCATATCTAAAATGTAATAAAGTAGTGTAACTATTTCAATAAGGCCCTACTTAATGTAACTGATTACATTTGATTATTTTTTTAAATTTCTAATGTTTTCAGCTGTTAATCACATTCATACATTTAAAGCAGGCAGGGTTAACCTTACAGTAGCACTGAACACGGATTACTGTCACTTTCGAAATCCTTCATCACCTCAATTAAGATTATAATAACTGAATTTTAAAGCACAGCCACCACAACATCAGACTTACTTTGAGATCATTCTGAGGTCAAATACAGATTTAAAACCATAACAAGAAATAGTGTAGGAGCATATGATACTGTTTTTGAAATCAAATCTTTATAGTTATGACAGGAATCTAACAATGGCTTGGAAAAACAGTTAATCCTATAAAATAAAGCATATGCATAAACCCAAATAGGAAATAAAGCAGGTATCAAATAATCGTGTGTCCTAAACTCCTGAAACATTGGTGTCTCATATTTTAGAGCAGTCACTGCGATTACACCCCCTTTGTAATCGTTAACATTTTCATAAGTAACTGTAAGTGCCCTCTGAAATTTACTTCTAAAATTAGCATTTTTTCTCAGGCTCCTATGTTTATGTTCAGTTATTTCACTGTAATGGCAATGAAAAGAATGTATGTATTGCTATTGAAGTGAAATTACTGAACCTACACACGGGCGCCTTATAAAAATGCTCATTTTAGAAGGCTTTTGCATCTGAACTCTTCATTTTTTCTCAGTAACTTAAACTGATTACGATTACATTTATTTTGTAATTAAATTACTTAATTTAGTTACACGTAACTTTCCCAACACTGCCTATAGGCCAGTAGTTCTACCGGTTTTGTTTTAGTATCCTAAGTTCAAATTGCTTGTAATGTGAAACTGTATACCAAAAATCATAAAGTAAACATGAACTGTGTAGGCCCACCAATATGGAAGATGTTTATAAGAATGGCTGAATAGGGAAATTTACATGATATACCTTTTTTTGATAAAAATAACAAAATGTTATTAATGAAAGAGTGCAAAAATACATCTTTTAACCCATGACCTTACTTGACCCAAATATACTTTAATAAACATTTATATTTCAGAGCTATCGGGGCGGGTTTCGCGGGAAATTAATTACCATTCGCCCGTGCATTTCATCATATCTGTACACAGAGAAAGTAGCTCCGGCTGTGGGTAGCATGAAGCTGAACGTTTGTTGTCACAACTAACGAGAAAAAATGACCATAGATCATTCAAAGCAGCAAACCTCCGTGAATCACTGGTGTTAAAAACAAAGAAACCGGTATTTATTGGTCCATCCTTTCTGATATGATGTCCTCTCCATGTGTACACCAGAACCACATTTAGTGCAAAGGAGCAGAGCTGAAGCACAACCAAAACAATGTATTTCCGCACTTTTATAAGTGACAGTGTCATTTTAAGTTCGTAAACAACAGCATGATTTCTCGGCCAAGAAACAAACACTGGGGCAAATGTTGTATAAATGTTAGCCGTTTTACTAAGTGACAGATGAATTTATGTCAATATTGCATAGTTTGATTGTGTGCATGCACATCCATTGACATGAGTAACAATGGATATGGGTTTAGTTTCTCCTTTTAAAGGTTGACTCTATTATTTATGTTACTTCAGCTATGCAAATTATGGTTACTGTTATTATTTGCATTTGTCTTTATTAGTCCCTGCTGTTCATGACCATATCAAAACAAATCTTTTACTCATTTTTGGGTTGCAACACACCAGTTGAGATACTATAGCACTCTTCATAATTTGAACAGAGCAGGTCAAGTATTTATGTGAGCTATGAATTTGCAGCATCTTTTAACAACTGGGTCCCTTATTTAAATATAGATTTAAATGCCTTACAAAGCCTTTCCTGTGAGGTCAAACCTCAGATTAATAAACTGCTTTTATGTGTGCCATGCAAAAAAAAAATATATATACAATTAATGCATTACACATGCATTCACAGGAACACTTCTGGCACTGATATTGTGGTTTATTGCAATTTAGACCATGATAATTGCGGATCCACCATTCACGTTTCTGTAGTACAGCATGACCGGCACAGTTTTCCTGATTTATGACTTCCGATCACGGCTCAGTTCTCCTGTAACTTACTGAAGTAATCGACACAAATATCCTTTGTGCTCAAGGAAACACTTCCAAAGAAACTGCGTGTGCAGACTTGTAAACAAATAAGTGCAAGTTAAATTACATTAGGGTTACGGGATATAGACATGTGGTTGATGGTTGGCAAGTGCAGTGGTATTAAAAAACTCATCTGGGAACCAGGTGCGCAAGTCTTGGCCTGGGCTTTGAATGCATTAACTCCTGCGCTGCAGTTTGTTTTATTAACCTGCATTCCAACTTAATCTACATTCACAATGAGCAAACGCATCACACATTCAGGCTTACTGGAAATCACGTGATCTGACCATAAAGGTGTAGATGTAAGGAGGCGTTTGAGCAGCTAATGCGTGTGCTTACAGTGTGCTCAGATCAAGGATGTTAACTATAACAATAACTATAACTATAAAGTCTTAATAATCATTCTAATTCTATGAGAATAGGGAAGTTCACACCACAGCTTAAGAGAGCAACAGTTAGGTTCTGGAAGTAAAAATCCCATTACTTTTCTTATAAACTTGTAAGACAGACATACTGTGAGCTATGAGGTTATTGATTGATGGCATATACTTTTGTGAACGCTAAAAACATTTGACAGCCAATCAGAATCCACTTTTAAAGAGCTTTAGCATACAAAGCTAGACGACAAAACTGCAGCATGCTCTTATAATAAACAAAATGTTTATTAAAATCGTCCATTGATGTGAATGATAATATACTCAGCATCATAGTTTTCTTTATAGTTATTGTTTTTTGGTGTGAATGGGCCTTTATTACATCAACAGTTAAATCAAGCAGAAATATAATGAACAAGCCATTAATTACTTTGTAGAATTATTCAAAAGCATTAAATATGGAGATTTCTTGAGATTCAGTAAGAGTCAGCAGCATCTTGAACTATTGATGGCACTGTGTACGTGGCCTGTTTGATTTGCCTCGATGAGGGAACAAGGCTTAAAGAGCTTCCAAAATACAGATATGCTAACCTTTTGTTATGGAAAAAATAGCAAGTCCTCAGGAACCAGCATCCGTGTCTGCACGTAGCCCTGTCATGCAGCAGTTATTTACAATAGTGATTTACTGGAAACAAGCTTCCTGGCCTTTCTAAGTACTCCACTGCAGGATGCATACAAGACATCAGACATTCACTATCTTCCCTTCCGTATCTATATCATTCATGTTATTATGTGTTTGTTATAAAAAAAGAAAAATATATTACTGTCTTCTTTAAATTAATAGATAAATTAGTCTTAGATACAGCAGAGTTCAAAAGATTCGAGACCACTATTGAAAATGCTATTTTCCATTATTTTTAATATAATACAAACTTCTAAAAAACCTTTTTATTACAATGACAATTTTTTAAAGTCCTGAAACTAATATATATATATATATATATATATATATAATAAAATTAGATTTTTATGTATGCACCCCAAAGTATACTGGACCAATGTTGCGATTAAATCGTACTTTAGTTGGATTTGGAGCTGAGTCTGCTTATGTAACTGTGCCGCTGACCTTTTCCACCCCCATCATCCACTTCTTTACATTCCATATATAAACATTAGTGTTTATATCAGCTGTCTGCTGAAACAGGATCCACTACATAAATACATATCCTGTCTATGTACACAGATAAGAAAAAAGAACATGTTTAGCTTTAAAAGAACCATAGACAGTACAGATGCCTACAATGTCTCTTAATCCACAAAGATTCGAAGCTACTGAAATATTGTCTTATTAAAAAAATGCTAATATCTAAATATTATCTGGTGCTTGAGGCGCAAGTTCTTTCATGCATCATGAGCCATGCACCCCCACCCTCTTCACCCGCTCCCTTCT